TACCTTTTTTAAAGCTACCTTTCCAAAAAAAAGGAAGGAAGAAAGAAAGAAAGAAAACTGACACGGAAATGGTTAAATACGGAAGAGGCAATATTAAATTTCATACGAAATACTTATGCGTTCTTAGATAATAATATTAATAAAAAGTACTGAGCATTGATTTCGATTTAGAAAAGGCATTTGAAACAGGGTTACGTCAAATATTATTAGATTAAATAGAAATTCTAGTTATAAGAGGCATCACATTAAAATGGTTTAGATCTTATTTGTAAGAACGAATACAGACTGTAAAATTAAGAAATAGCTTTCGTGATATGAATATAATAAAGTAGTGGCCCACTGGGTTGTTTAGTTGGATCCATTTTTTTTGTAACTTATGTAACCTAAATTGAAATTGTAAATTACAATACTTGCGGATGATACAGCATTAGTGTTGAGCTGTGATACACGTTACTTGATCATTGTACATTTTAAAATAACAGTAAAGTTTCTCAATTTGTAAAAAAAAAGTGAGTTAACCATTATAAACTTCAGTGTATAATGGCACTCTAACCGATAGTCGAAAGTGTTACTTGACCACATAGTAGGATATAATGACACTCTGCAATCGATTGTAGAAAGTGTTACTTGACCACGTTGTAGGATATAATGGTACTCTGCAACCTATCGTACAAGATATTACTTGACCATATCTTAAAATATAATGACAAATTCCTTGAGATTGTAGATTTTAAAGTATACATTATACAATGTAATGACAAATTCTATTAGGTAGTTGAAGACGTTTTTTGACAATTTGAACCATTTATTCAAAGATACAATCTGTAGTTGAAATCTTCAACAACATAGAAACATCATTGTATGTGACTCACATAAATATGCCTATATATAATTTATGGGTATATGTACTGCGAGTGCAGAACGTTTTTATGATAACAAAATCCTAAATCATTGCATCTAGAGATTTAAAGTGTAATGCGAAATCTAAACTTTTCCTGACCAAATTGGTATTTTATTTGATGATGGGTAACTTTGAAACATTTTGTTTTTACAAGAGCAGCTTTAGGCACATCAAATATTTCTACCACAACTAAACTTTTGTAATATGTAACCATGGAGTTTGTTCTCTATAAATCTAACAAGAAGGGCGTTTGATATTTGTTAACCTAATCAACAAAAAATTAAGCTAGGATTGTGCTTGCCTAGCATGCCGGACTGTTAATATGAAGGCTTATGGTCCGTGTCCCTTTGCCACACAAATTGCGCTCCGTGTGTATGTTATAGGAGTGACAGTGAAATCGCCCCTATTCAATTAAAGTAGCAGAAGTGTTAGCGGTGGGTGCTGTGGATGAGTTGCCTTTTCTCTCTGATATGCCAATTAAAAATTGGGATGGTTAACACTGCTAGTCCTTTGTGTAGCTTAGGCAAACATTTAAACAAACTGTTCAACTGCTCAAAAGAGTTCGGTATCTGTTAGTTGTACCAATAAACATGACTAAAACACACAAATCTAACACGCATTTTTCACCATATAATGATGTTTTTTATTTAACCACAAATTTTCAAGCTCTTACAACAGTTTCTCTTGAATAGGAGATTATGGCTAACTGACTGAAAAAGGACAACTTATATTGATTCAAATCAATAATATTGTAAGTGTACAAAGCATGTTACCTATATACAGTACCACTACTGACAACAATACAAACATAATTAGCAA